CACTCACAACATCGACAAATGCTTTAATTCGGAGATATGGAATTTCAAACTTGCAGTTTTCGGATTCTAAGGGGCTAGTGCATTGGTATGCCCCCTTAGAATTTGTGACGTCAGCGGAGATCCAACGATTTTTAAATCTTTTACTAAAACGTTTGGTAGCACGCGGTGGTATATGCTGCTTTGCGCGCAACAAATGCCGCACTTTCAAATAAAGTCGCTAGGAACAGCGGAGATCCCAAAAAGTAAACAAAAGTAAAAGTCTAATATCTTGAAAACCAGTGAATATTTTTCGATGAAATTTGGTAGATATTCGTTTTCGCTCTTTCTGAACCGAGCGACATCACTTTCGTGCCAATTCATTAACTTTTTTGAAGGTGGGAGGGTCCCTTTAAAGGAAAAGGGCCACCTTTAACATGGGGATTGAAACTGAGATAGCCATCTTGTAGCCCGTGTCCGAAAACCTCTCTGTCTACCTCCTTACGGCCGATTTCGGCCTCCATTCGTAGTTATCGGCAATTTTAAAAGAAAATATGCCAGGAATGCGTTCTTATCCCAGGAATGCGTTCTTATCCGACAATACAGCCACCCGCGGCGAGGCTTTGGTTTTTAACCAATCAGCTTGCAGCAGTACTGATCAGGCACGGATCCCTGTACTAGCGAGCAGACCACGAGCAGTTGCGTTATTTTTCGTTGTCTGTTCTGGCAATCGGCCGGCGGATGAACATCCGCAATCGAATCTTGAAATCCGTCGCGCTGATTGGTGATGAGTTTCATGAGCTACTTTCATGAGGTCTATGAAAGTAAACCTATGCTATGCCCTGAACAGATGACATCTCGTTTGGTAGCCAATTGCTAAAATGCATTTTTATCTTACGCAAGGCAGTATACCATATTTTATACCGTGGCTCTGATCCGAAATCAGGGCATTTTTGTTCGAACAAATACCTATAATAACGATGAAGAAGTGCGTGATCCGCGGAGCAAACGACCTACGTCGGGTCGGGACTGATATGCGTGTGACTGTGCACAAGTAAGTACCTAGGTACCTAGGTAGGTACCTAAATTCTTATTTATTGCAATGGCTCTTCTATTACTTTTGTTTTCACAGAACTCTCCCCTGGATTAGCAAACCCTTTTGAACTGTTCAGGCTTTCACAACTGAAATGCCAGACTGGATAAAAAAACGCAAGTTATGCCGAATATGCCATGCGAAGTGGCGTGATTGCGGCGTTGCCCAGAAAATTTCATCGCACATCCAGCATAATTTTGCATGCGTCAAATTCAGCGCATGGTCATGGTGGCAGCTGAATTTTTAGGCGCAGGGTGACCGCATGGCGCATAATGTTTATGCAAATGGCTGTCACCGAATTTTTTGACACGCTGTGGTCAATCTAGCAGCAGACTTGCCCTGCGGGCGCTGGGAGGTCTGAAGAGAGTCGAAACTTCCGGCCTGGGCCTTGTTTCACCTTAAGATTCTACAGTGTGCCACACAAATTGTGGTATTGGGTTTTCATGGGAACATTAACTAATTCAGACGCTCAGAAAGAGAAGAGCGTCTGACTCCGAGGCCCCGGAACGATCTGTCTGGTTGATATAGCCTTGGTCGGTAGATATGCACATGTGCTTTATGTAAAAGTGGCTTAATTTTGGTGCAAACAGGCACCCAACTTTCAGTGGAAATCATGCACTGGAATTTCAGCTCAAAATTGCTTGCTTCAAATTTTGGCGCATGAGGGGCTCACGGGCATCCGGCGTAGTGTATGGATGTTTTCCAGTCTGGCTGAAAGGCAGAACTCAGACACATTTATCCAGCCCTTCAAATCCCATTTCCTGGTTGTGGTAACACCTACCTTTCCATGGGGGTTTGGTTCATCTCTTGTCTACACAGTTTTCTTTCACTTATGTGCTGACAAGAAAAGGAAACTCACCAGAGCCCAGTTTCACCAAGTGCGGTAAACTCAATTTGGGGTAAACTACCAAACTACCCCACTACTTAACTACAAAAACTACCCCAAAATTAAGTTTACCGCACTTGGTGAAACTGGGCTCAGTGGAGCTATTCAGCTTAATACACAGAGTATGTGTTGCATCATGCATGGACTAAGCATGTGTTGACCCTTTTTTACTTTTAGGTTCCCGCTAAAAAAAGAAGTACAGAGAAAAGTGGATGAGGGTGTGTGGCATGACCAATGAGCCAAGACCACATGACCACTTAAACTTAACAAGAAGTGCGCACCATGATAAGCACAGTCAAAAACGTTTGCGTCTAAAGAACAGTGCTGTGCCGGATCAGAATGTAAGTTATTATTTAAAAGTGATAAAAATGCCTGCAAAGTTATCAAAAGACTTTGAATATTGTTTTTGTAACACTTCACTCTAAAGTTATTCCTAGTACCAGACATTACAGCTTTAGTGCAGAGTCTTTATTTGTGATATTTTTAGCCAAAAATTATTACTAGTACCGAGCCCTTACAGCTTTACAGCCCTAGTACCTTGCCCTTATTTTTTATATTTTTTAGCCATTTCAACCTAACCGAATATCTGTATGTTTGTATGTTATTGTTTTGATCTGTATTTTATGCTACCTCCCTATAGGTAAGTTTTATTAAAACATGTGGTAACGGTGTGCTGATTTTTTACAGATTCCGTATACGCCTTGGGTTGCTGTCGCTGCTCGGTCACCCACAGATGAAAGTGATCAAGAAATGGACATCACTCAGGTAAGATTCAAGCGTCCTTTATTTTACACATAATACAGTAAGCAGTAGCACCCTAACCGCAACATATGGGAATGCATTGCCTGGTGGGTGCCTACTGCCTACCTGTATGCCAAGTTTCAGCTAAATCGCCCCAGTAATTACAGAGTTATTGAAATGGGAACAAATTCGGCACCTCTTCTTTTTGCATTTTGCACGTGCAGTGGGGGTCACTCACATAGATCAACAGCATCCGACCTTTGGTTGAAGGGGTGCAGCTACCCTACAAAATTTACCGCAAGACCGCCCAAGCGGCTGCTGAGATGAGCCTCTCAAAATCACTTCTTTTGCAACTTTTGACAAATAACACCCTTGACTTTTCACGTGGCACGTGCCACGACGGTCCCTGTAATGTATCAAGAGTAGTCAATTACGGGGTAGAGGGAATAGGGCTAGCCAACAAAAAAAAAGACCGCAGGCCAATCGGTCCAGCGGTTGCTGAGATATAAGCCTCTCAAAAGCGTTACAGGCCGGGCCGGGTCGGGCCGCTCATACTGAGCTTTTTCCGTGATATTGAAAAGACTTCGCTTCGCTCGCTCGCTCGTAATTAACAATTCATGGTTGACTATATGGATTAAGCTAAGTGATTGCGCTCTATTAGCACACTATCTAAGTAGCCCTTAATTGCTGCCGGTGCGTGGACTGTGAAAGTGAGCCGAGCTGTGACGCAAACCGTGCGCCTTTTTCAGGTGTGGGATCACTCGTGGAAGTTCACGGCGGATACGGAGCCGTGCATGCAGCTCTGGTTCGATCCTGCTCAGGGAAGCCCCAATGACGCCGTGGCGCGCATCTGGGCTGAGCGGGTGATGGCGGCCGGTGCGCGGGCGCTGCCGCGTGGCTGGTGGCCGCGGCCCTGGCGGCAGCGGCCCGCTCCTGACCCGGTCGCCCTGTGCCGAGCACAGAGCGCCGACTGAGGTCAGTCTTGTGATCGAGCTTCCGCGCCAGAGGTGGAACAGGTGGAGCTGGCGGTCACCTGCGCGGGCTCGGCGGCCTGTAAGCCGTGCCGAGACGAACCGCGACACTCTTGCTAGATCTGCACCCCATTGTAATCTTCTGTAGTCGATATTCGGTAGGTACTCAATGCTCATTTTTCTGATATTAGACGAGTGGCGGGTTTTGATGTTACATTGGAGACTGCTGTCTCGGGTGGCCCGACAGTGTTCGATTGTGGTGTAATGTAGATACATAGACGGGATGCCGCGGCTCGGATTCGTAGCTGGACTACCATGTGCCTGTCGATTGAGATGCTTTGCCTGGCGATTGAGATGATTCGGGGCGCGGCCCCACACTGACGCCATGGTGCAATGAGTGACTGGCGACAACTAAGCAATTATGTACTTTTGTAGAACACATGTTTTCATGGATACGAGAGGCAGTCCTTTTTTCGCTAGCAGTCATTTGGTTCACGATACTTTCGATACCGACAAATATGTTCGGGCGGCCGGTCCGTCCACAGCTAATGCGTGCTTGCCCGCCGATGCCTAACGGAGCGCTGTGCTGTCTACGCTCACTGGTCGCTGGCCCGAGAGCCGTTCGGTTGCTGCTGTTAAAACAGTTCTCACAAAAACACGCTGGCTGGCTGCCAGTTCTTCACCAATGAGAGGCCCAGTAGCATCAGCAGGTAGCATTGTTTAATATTACTATTCCATTTTGTTTACCCATATGTCCGACCTAGAGCCGACTGGTAAAAAGCGGCAACCGAGCAGCCCTCCGCAGCGCTGCAGATCATGTACGCTCGATTATACACAATATATGTGTCTTTCTTGCACACAGAGACATGACGTTTTGTAGAGCTTTTATATCGCTTGTGGCTGAAAGGAATATTGTACATTTTAGAGCTTTCATATACGCGAGAAAATATGGTGCAAAAAAACATTTATGAAGCCTGTTGAATTTTAAAGGTTGTTGGGGCATTTCACAGACTGTGTCGGTGGGCAGGGCAGCCCGGCCCCGGCCGCCGCCGCCGCCGCCTCCTTCACTGGTATGTGGCAGGGACGGAAGCTTCGTATTGATATACCGGGGTGCAACCTAAGCAGCATATCACCTATCAAACAACCTTCGGTTATGAAGTGAACGAAAACTAAATATTATGTATAACTGTGATCTGCGCTGCGGTGTTTCCAAAGTGGAGGAAGTATGGGGAGCTGGACCCGGACTCGATGAGCCCTCTACTACGGATCTGGGTCTTCGCAGCTGATCGTCTGTGAATGAGAGATCATATGATACCAATGCATACCGAACGGATCAAAAACAGTGCCATTATATATTTGCAATTCTACAGCTTTACGTAAGCCCATCCTAGTGAATGCATTAATACGCGTTGATTTGACAACTGACATCCGGTTGAAGGCGTTTTTTTTTCGGCCAACAGCCGGCCAGCAGTTGTTGCAGGCCGGCCTCGTTGGGAAGCAGGTTCATTTTCCGACAGCCACTGCGTGCGGAAGCACTCTCTGATGGCGCGGACGGCGCGCGCCGGCTCCTGTTTCTGTAACGTGTAGAGGCGGGTGTCGAGCAGCTGGGCGCGTAGCGGGCGGTCCTCGAGCACGCGGAACGCGGCCGGCTGGCGCGGGTACAGGCGCTCCCTAAACAGTAGGCCCGAATGGTGGCAGAGTCGAGCGTCGCGGCGCGGCAGAGCGCGCGGCGCGGCCGCCGTCTGTTCCAGCTCGGCGTCGGCGCGCCCCTCGGCGAACAGCAGGTGCAGCTGACGGTCGGCCAGGCAGAAGCCGCTGATGCCAGGTGTGCTGACGTCGCCGGGCCGGCGCGGCGCGGCGCCCTTGGCCGCCGCCGGGCTGGGCGGCTCGTTGAGCTGCTGGATGAGCTGCAGCACGCCGCTGCGCTGCAGGCCGCGCTGCGAGACGACGGCCAGCAGGCGGCCGTAGGCGCAGCGCGCCGGCGCCGGCCGCGGCAGCAGGTCCAGCGGCACGGCCAGCGACACGGAGACGGACAGCTGCGCCGCCGACTGCAGCAGCTGCAGCGGCCCGAACGGCGGCGGACACGTGCCGCGCTCAATGTCGGCCGCCGGAGAGGCAGCCGGTCCGGCCGGCACCGCTGTCAGCGGCACCTCCACACTGAGCAGACGCACGCCGCGCGTCAGGGCAGAGACGTCCACCACCACCTGCCGCGCACACAGAGGGCCGACAGTGGTGACAGCGCGCGGCGGGTCAGACCTCACAGTGGGGATAGCGGCAGCGGGTCAGACACCCTTATAGAACAGCACGGGGCGGAGCCGACAAAAGAGGACGAGGAGACTGTCATACAGCCGACTGAGGTCCGGGCACCGACTGACTCAAAGTGCTGAACATGTCACACATTTCTAAATGGCTTCTGTAGGACGGAATAGTGTCTCTTCCTTCCAAGGCTTACTTGCAGAATAATATGGAAAGACACAATTTTACAAGTTGTGTTTTTATGACATAAGTTCTTTATAACATTTCAACACGCAAACATCATACCTTGACAATTGTTCACGATGAAGATCATGCAGGAACATTTCATATTTAGTCACCCTTGATTATTTTGTTGATAGTGATGCGAAAGGCAAATTACCAAAGTATATATTTGCAATTATTTGAGTTAATAATTTCAACTTTTTTTGTGTTGAAAATTGACTTTTGAAACAATAAAGGCAAATGAATTATCAGTGTCTGGAAAGGTGCAATGCTGAAAGCTTCTTATTACATTCTAATTTATATCTAAAGCTTTGTGATATCCAAACTCTCAGAAATAACCAAGGACGTAACCAAGGAGGGGGGAGGGGCACGGGAGCCATGCCCTCGTGCCCCTTCCCCCCTCGGTGATGGCGATTTTTTTTTTTAAATAAAAACAGCTGTGACACACCCCCAAAATAGTGGGCCTAATCAGAGAAATTTTCCTTTTTTGGAGGGGGTACAACACTAGGCCACAACCTGTGACCCCCCCCCCTGAGCAAAATCCTGGTTACGTGCCTGGAAATAACAAAGCACATCCTATCCTTTGATGTTGGACGCAAGAGCCAAGTTGCTACGCGCCCTAACCCATAACAACAACAACATCCTATCCTTTGATGCCACTTACCAGCAGCTTTGCGCACTACCAAACAGCCACCTTTGGGCCTTTGTTGTTCTTGATTTGGGCATTGTCAGTGGTAACTGGAAATAATCAGACATGATGGTCAGAGTAGGGAATGTGACTACAACAAAAATCATTTCATTCCTATAAAATAGACATGATTTAATAGAAGACCTTCTTCTTAAGAAAGTGTGTCATGGATACCAGCTAATCTGTATGGTATTCATCTCCAGTATTATCATATAGGTATAACAATTATCACCACCCGCCACCATTGAATGTAGGTTTTAGGTTGTAGGTTGTAGGTGGTAGGTTGGGTATCGGTAAAGCTGGTGTCACCGTCAGCGCTAACCGGTAAATGTGTAGATAAAAGGAATCTTAAAAACAATCTAACCTAACCTAACCTTACCTACTGACCCAGGGGCGGATCCAGAAAATCTCCAAGGGAGGGGCCATTAGAAACCAGGAGGCCCCCATAATCCCACCTGTTGGAGGCCCCATCTTCCCACTTGTTGGGCCCCCCCCCCCAAAAAAAAACTGCGTCTATTGAGCTTATCTAGCTGTTCAGGCAACATCTCAACATGAATAGCCACTTTATTTTCAGGAGGCCCCCTTTTCAGCTTTTTAACTTTTTATTTTATTTTTGAAAAAATCGGCCAAGGGGGGGCCATGGTCCCCATGCCCCCCCCTTGTATCCGCGCCTGTACTGACCTGCAACCTACCTACCCACAACCTACCAAACTAATATACGCTGACAGTGATGCCAGCTTTACCAATGCCGTACGTTGTAGGTTGTAGGTAAGGCTAGGTCAGGTAAGATTATGTTTCATTATATATTTACTGAGAAGACGGCTGAATGCTCTTGAGACGTGGCTATACATTTACATTTTGTAAGTAATTTTCAGGTTTCAATGAATATTTCCTAGTGGAATGTTTTGAAAACCATTCTAAATGATGACCTTTAGCATTCCATAGTACTTTAAAGCTAATTAACCACATCGCCAATGCTAGGTCACATTGCATGCCTACTTCCACCGGCAGCTCCATGGGATATATGATAGGCAGGGGTAAATGGAATATTTTTTATTAATATTCTTGAAGAAAATTATAGGCATGAAAAGAAGATGATCTGCCTTTGAGATTGATATGTGATGCCTACTTTGGACGAACATAATCATAATAATTACACAATCATAAAAAATGCAATGTAACCAAACAGCCGCTTATGCCGCAAAATGAGAATCAAGCCAATCACTGAGGACAAACAATTTCAAACCACCAAAACTATATTCTTGCTATTCACCAATAATCCTAAAATAGCGTTCCATGGCCATTATATCCATCTTTCACCCTTACCTTCGACAGATAACTAGCGCCACGGGCAGACACACGGGGCGACAAGTTGTTTACAACCGCTACAGTCCGACGAGTCTATCCTCCTCAAGGCTGATTGGCTTGAGTGTGACGTCATTGCTATGACATCATACAGTAGCTGCGGTAGAGAGTATAAACATAGTACCAATATGTTAAATAGTTTGAAATACTTTTTAGCGAATTATGCACTTCTGGCACCGGTTTTGAAAAGAAAATGGAAAATAATAATGTCAAAATAAAAACCAACGATATCTTCATATTTCAAGAAGGTGGCACTTTTCCTTTAAGACACATAAATAACAGTGAAACTTACCGGTAAATTGATGTTTGTGAAAGGAGGAAAGGAGGAAGTTTGTGAATGGTAAGGTTACGACGAGAGTTGGATGACAGGAATGGTTTGAAGAGTGGGGGATAGGTCGCTGGGAGGGATGGGGTTTGTGAATGTTTAAGCGTCACGATGAAAGGAACGGAATGGTTTGGAGGATAGGGAATCTGTCGCTGCTGCAGTTGGCGGCCGACGGTTGTCTGTGGCCGTTCAACCCGGCCGCCGCCGCTGTTCAGCGGCCGGGGTCCGCTGGTGTAGCTCGCTGGGCCGCTGAGCCTTGGCTGAGCCATCAACATACATTTCTAAAGTGAAATATCACTCTGTTCGCAATTTTGTCAGTTGGCACAATACACCAATCAGCACGAATATTTGGCTAAAATGACGACACTTAAAGCCAACGTTGACGACCATAAAAACCAATCCTGTGCGATAATTAGTGCTGATAATCTTGCTGACAGGTTCGCGAACAGAATGCAAACTAAGTCACATGTAAGCCAACATGACGCATCTGATACAAATACAAGGTTTTGGCGACGTCTGTCAATTCAGTTGCAACGAATATCAGCCTCACAGCAGCATATTTCGGGGTCTTTCGATTTGGCTGTAAATCGGTGTACAGGGCCTCCTCGATGCGCTGATTCCGAAAATGTACCTCTTTGGGGTGGTATTTTGCACCGTTAACGAGTTAACGACTAATTAACATTTCAACGGGAAACGGCGGGGTCTTTCGATTTAGCTGAAAATCGGTGTACAGGGCCTCCTCGATGCGCTGATTTCGAAAATATGCCTCTTTGGGGTGGTATTTTGCACCGTTAACGAGTTAACGACCAATAAACATTTTAACGGGAGAACGGCGGGGTCTTTCAATTTAGCTGAAAATCGGTGTACAGGGCCTCCTCGATGCGCTGATTCCGAAAATGTACGTCTTTGAGGTGGTATTTTGCACCGTTAACGATTTAACGGCTAATTAATATTTTAACCGGAAACGGCGTGGTCTTTCGATTTAGCTGAAAATTGGTATACAGGGCCTGTTTGATGCGCTGATTCCGAAAATGTGCTTCTTTGAGGTGGTATTTTGCACCGTTAACGAGTTAACGACCAATTAACATTGTAACGGGAAACGGCGGGGTCTTTCGATTTGGCTGAAAATCGGCAAATAGGGCCTCCTCGATGCGCTGATTCCGAAAATGTACCTCTTTGGGGTGGTATTTTGCACTGTTAACGAGTTAACGACTACTTAACATTTTAACGGGAAACGGCGGGGTCTTTCGATTTAGCTGAAAATCGGTGTACAGGGCCTCCTCGATGCGCTGATTCCGAAAATGTACCTCTTTGGGGTGGTATTTTGCACCGTTAACGAGTTAACGACTAATTAACATTTCAACTGGAAACGGCGGGGTCTTTCGATTTAGCTGAAAATCGGTGTACAGGGCCTTCTCGATGCGCTGATTCCGAAAATGTACCTCTTTGGGGTTGTATTTTGCACCGTTAACGGGTAAACGGCCAATCAACATTTTAACGGGAAACGACGGGGTCTTTCGATTTGGCTGAAAATCGGTGTACAGGGCCTCCTCGATGCGCTTATTCCGAAAATGTACCTCTTTGGGGTGGTATTTTGCACCGTTAACGAATTAACGGCCAATTAACATTTTAACGGTAAACGGCGGGGTCTTTCGATTTAGCTGAAAATCGGTGTACGTTCAGTGTCTCAGGGGCAGACGTTACGTTAGTTCACGTTAGGTCACGTGACCTAAGGGCAACTTTTGACCTTTCGACCTTTCGAGGTCAACATACATATGTTTCGATGCGGATCGACGAGAGGATCACGATGGTGCTATTAGTTTGTTCCTAGCTGGGATACCTTGAAAGGTATTCGAGAAAATATTCATATATGTAGTGCCGCAATTTTGACTTCCTTTTTGCTCCTGTGACGTCATCTTTGATCTGACCTGAAAATGACTTCAATAAAAATTATAGACCTTATCCGTGTGTACCCTGCACCGTTTACCGCTTGTCGCTATCTTGCTTTATTCTCGAGATCTCGCTGTCGCTCCCGCTCGTCACGTGACCTAAGGTCAACTTTTGACCTTTCGACCTTTCGAGGTCAACATACATATGTTTCGATGCGGATCGACGAGAGGATCACGATGGTGCTATTAGTTTGTTCCTAGCTGGGATACCTTGAAAGTTATTCTCGAAAAACTTCATATATATGTAGTGCCGCAATTTTGACTTCCTTTTTGCTCCTGTGACGTCATCTTTGACCTGACCTGAAAATGACCTCAGTAAAAATTATAGACCTTATCCGTTTGTACCCTGCACCGTTTACCGCTTGTCGCTATCTTGCTTTATTCTCGAGATCTCGCTGTCGCTCCCGCTCGTAATAATGGACAGGTCATAAAAATGACCTGACCTGAGGTCAACGCAGGGCGATAGCCACCTTTTTGATGATGCCCAAAATCAAACCCAAGACACTCCGATGGGTGATCATTTTAGGGTACACCACCACTCAGAGGATAGAGGCACAGCGCGTCTAAAACTTCGCATTCTATATCGTTCAAGCCGGGATCATCCAGACAGGAAGATAGCAGAGTCTATTGATACAGAAGAAACGACCCCAAGTGAACTATAATCAGTCTTCTTGGCCTATGCTCTAGGTCCCCCTGGCGCCGAACTACACTTATCACTCTGCTTCTTATCAATGTATCATATTCTATAGGGGAAGCGGGGGGAACACCGCCACTGTGGGAAACACCGCCACCCCATCTGGCGGCGAAAGTATGAAATGTGAAGTGTAAAAATCCGTTATTTCCTATTAACCGCACGAGGGTAAGCGTCTTCTGATTTGTGTTCCGGTGTTTCAGTGTAATCGAAGCTCAATGTGGCCATTTAAAGAAAAATGCACATCCTCTTATAAAAATTCGATGAGTTGGGAGCACTTTTGAATGTCTTTAAGTAGAGACTCATTTTGATTTACTTGATTACATCGAAAAATAACTGATCGGCTTTGTCCAGTAAGATAGGTTTGCTTGAACCGTGTAGTACATTCTTGCCGCTGGCGATTTTTGCTTGTGATCACTTATTGGGGAACACCGCCACCCCGTGGCGGTGTTACCCCCAATTGAGGTTGCGGTGTTTCCTGTTTGTAGCGTGATAAGTGATAAACCAAAGACACGCTTTATTTATGTTCGTAGATGTTCCTAAGTCGGGAATAAGCAGCTTATTTGATTTGTTTACTTTATTTTTCATGCATCCCGACCAAGCACTTGCCAGCTGTATAAAACTGGCAAACATGGCTGATGAACCTATACCTATTTAGGTGTCCATTACCGATTATTTGCGAAAATTACCACTTACCGACAGGAAACTCATCGCACGCGATCTCTGAACAATTAAAATGCTTTCGTAGGAATGGGTTGGGTTAACATCAACACCGGTGGCGGGGTTACCCACACAATTTGTAGGCAGCAAATATGCAAGGTATTTTTAAAAGTCGTGATACATGAAAACCTTTTAGGAGCATGCAAAATAAGTACCTAAAACACGTGAGAAAATGTTTAAATATTGTACCTAACCAAGACAATAACTACCAAGAGACTTCACACATATTCTCTCATTTTGGCGAAAAGCTTAGGCCTTAGGGGGCGGTGTTACCCCCGCTTCCCCTACAGTGTGGTCCACACGATTCAGTTTTACGAATACAGCGAATACAGCGAATAGCAACGAATAGTAACGAATAGCAACGATTAGCAACGAATAGCAACGAATAACTACGAATTTTACGATAGCGAATTTACTGATTACTGATGTGCAACACTCGTTGTTAATTTGAGATACGAAGTGAACTCGATCACATGTACACGATACGAATAACCTGAACCGATGTGCAATATGTTACGTTTATGTTTTTGTATGTCACTCGCGGCCGCCTCTAAGCTAAGTGTTGTGCATTAACCCGCGCCCTGCTGGGGGGGGGGGGTGTTTGAACACCCCCCTTGTGGTTTTTCGCGAATATCTCAAAAACGGCGGCGCGTTTTTGGTACACCTTATCATACATCAATTCTACACATGTTGTAAAAATTTCAGACCAAGGTCATTCAAGGTCAGGTCACCAGGTCACTTGAAGTGACCTCACCTCATAAAAAGTTTCAATGTCTGTCATAGCTACACCGAGTGACCGATCGCTTTGAAACTTTCAGCGATTGCTAAGAGCAATAGCATGTACAAAATGTATATCTCAGAATTTTGATATCGATGACCTAAGGTCAGGTCAATTTTGCGACCTCCCCAATACCTACCTATAAGTCAATGGGAGAAAATTGAAATGCGCCTCTTTTGGACGAAAGAC